ACTATGCTTTCCGTAATAAAATCATCTTCATGCATGACAATGCACCATCTCATGCTGCAAAGAATACCTCTGCATCAATGGCTGTTATGGGGATAAAAGGAGAGAAAGTCATGGTGTGGCCTCCATCCTCCCCTGACCTCAATCCTATTGAGAACCTTTGGAGCATCCTCAAGCAAAAGATCTATGAGGGTGGGAGGCAGTTTACATCCAAACAGCAGCTCTGGGAGGCTATTCTGACATCTTGCAAACAAATTCAAGCAGAAACTGTCCAAAAACTCACAAGTTCAATGGATGCAAGACTTGTGAAGCTGCTATCAAATAAGGGGTCCTATGTTAAAATGTAACGTGACCTGGTAAAATGTTTAAAAAGTTAAAATGTTGTTAAAGGTTTAATTGAAATAGCTTTTGATTTCAGTAAATATGCTGCAAACACAACAAATGACAATTTTCAGTTCTTTGCAACCTATAAAGTGTTTTGAAACTTACTGTGTGTAATCATTTGGAACAGTCATTGTAAGTTTTTTGTGTTTAACAAAAATACTGTTATCATTAGGAGGTTTGTTCAATAAAATTTGAATTGTACTTTTAATAGTTTGATAACATGAGAATTATGCTGACTGTTATTTACATCAATTATTTAGGTAAATGAGAAAAATATCATTTGCATAATAATTTGAAACACAGTGTATTTCTCATATGTATATTTTGTCCTTCCTCTTGTGGTCTGGTTACTTATATTTTTACCCTAACCTGTCCAGTTTCTTGCAGTCTATTAGCCAAGCTCTGACCTCACCTTTTGAACACCTCCAACTAAATCTAGATGGGACATGGCAATGTGTTCAATTAACCCTTTTGTACTTTGGCCATTTTTTTGTAAGGAAGGCCTTATTCTCTTTTTTTTGCCGCTTTGAGTTTCATCATATTAACATCGCTGCATCAATGCCTATAGTTTGTTGCCATGAAATGCCTAAAGTAGCTGTAAACCTCTAATATGAAATATGGACAAAGCATATTTCTCTCTAGTAAGTACATCCCTCAATCCAGAGCACTAAGTGTCATTTCTCTGCTACTCCATTCCTTTGCTTCTGCCATGAGTCACTTCTGACAGGTTTTCCTGACACCAAGAAATAAAAGGTGACAAGGGAGGAAGCTCCAGCATACATCTCTCCACCCAGCTCTCCTCATTTAGATCTGCAGAAAAACTTCAGCTTCCCACCCCCTGACTTGTGAAAGCTCTGACAAGGTGTATAAATTATGTACTTTGATCAGCTGTAGAGAAGATAAAACAGGTACAACTTATGAGTAAAAGGATTTGTTTCGTCAGTATAACATGAGGCTAGTCATTTCACTGACTATATGCAACGGGTTACTACCACTTTGATTATTGTAATTTATCACCAGAACACACCTCTTCAAGTCAATTTTTAGCTGTTCTACATTACTTATGGAGAGTACCATTACCCACCTAACTGAAAGTTAAGGGAGTACCTGCAAAGCCTTATATTCAGCAGAAGACTCTACAGGTAAGTCTTGGCAAATGGGGATGAAAATGCAACCAAGTGAGAATGAGACAAATATGACATGTCCAGAAAAAGCCACACACTCAGCTTCCCTGAATCTCAACCCTGATCCCATCAGTCATTTCCACTTCAGCCAAACTGTAGCACCCTGGCTTGTCAAAATGGTCCTAAAAAGCTATTTAAAAGTTATGGGCCTACAGTTCCATCCATTTTCTTTATTGTAACATCTTAAGCTTAAAGAAGATCTTCAGTTACTAGGAGGGAGAAGAAAAAAGCAAAGTTACACTTACGGTAATGCCTTTTCCAGGAGTCTGTCAGGACAGCACCTTTGAGAGACTTTGGCTCCTCCCCGCTTGAGGAAATACCTCCACCCAGATTAAAAGCATGGCCTCCCCACACCAACCTCAGTTGATGACATAGCACCTCTGGTCACATGTGGAGACACAATACAAGACAAAAAAACGTACCGTATAACCGAACGATAAAAACGGTGGGTAACTGGAGCTGTCCTGGAAAAGGTGTTACTATAAGTGTAACTTTGCTTTTTTCCCCTACCCGTCTTTCAGGACAGCAACTTTGAGAGGATACATGAGCACTCATCCTTAGGGCAGGACCACCGCTTGCAGAACCTTGCATCCGAAGGCCTGCTCCTCTACCGAGACAAGGTCAAGTCTGTAATTCTTAACAAAGGTGTTGTAATTGGACCAGGTAGCTGCCCTACAAATCTGTCCTGGGGTTGCAACAGCCAGCTCAGCGTACGTGGCCGCCATGGCCTAGGTGTAATGCGCCAAATGCCCTCCAGAACTTCCATACCCCCGGCCAGATATGCCTGTCTAACTGCCAGTCTCAGCCACCTACCTAAGGTGCACCTAGAAGCTTTACAACCCTTTCTTGCTCCTGAAAATGATACAATAAGGGAATCTGACTTCCTGATCTATTTAGTCCTATCTAAATAAAGAACACATATAACATCCAACATGTGAAAATTTTCTCTCTTGGTCACACGAGGGGTTAGAACAAAATGACAGTTAAGTAATCTCTTGGAGTCGATGAAATCTCGAGGCTATCTTGGGTAAGAAGGCCAAGTCTGTCCTCAACATTACCCTATCTGCAAAAATCTGGAGGAAGGGGGGCCTAATTGATAGGGCTTCCAAGTCACTCAAGAACGACAGGGGGAGATTAGAGAAATCAATGCATGGCTAAATACCTGGTGTAAGAGGGAAGGATTTGGGTTTCTAGAGCACTGGGCTGACTTTTCATTGGGGTGCAACCTATATGCTAGAGATGGTTTGCACCTAAATGGAAGGAGGTCTGCTGTGGTGGGGGAGAGGTTTATGGGAAGGCTGGAGGAGTATTTAAACTAGGAGCGAGGGGGGAGAAAGAATTAGATTATAACAGGATAGACAGATCAGACAGAGGTCAGTACTTATTGGTGGGTGGAATGGGGAAAGATGGGGGGGGGGGGGGGAGGGCTATGGCAGATAAGAAGGTTCCCATGTTAAACAACCAGTGGAATTGGTACCATTTGTATGAAAATAAAAAATATGCAAAATACGTGTGCACAAGGTGTCAATGGATTAAAGTGTTTGTTCACCAATGCCAGAAGTCTGCCAAGCAAAATAGGTGAGTTGGAAGGTTTGGTGCACAAACAGAACTAGGATTTAATTGGTATTGCTGAATCTTGGCTTCATTCTTCACAAGACTGGGCCATTAATATTCCTGGCTATGTTTCTCTTTCGGAGAGACAGGGTAAAAAGGAAAGGTGGTGGAGAAGTTATCTCAGAGCGAGTGTAAAAGAGGACCTAGTTGATGGAGAGTGTGATGAGGCTGAAGCATTATGGGTGGAACTGCACATGGGGGTGCGTACTATAAAGGTAATCATTGGAGTTTGTTATAAGCCTCCCTGTGTTAATTAGGAGGTGAAGACTCAGCTCCTTGCACAGATCGAAAGGGCTGCGACAGTAATAATGGGGGTTTTTTAACTACTCGGAAATCAGGGATGCTGAGCCAGAGATTGCTGGTCTGCCAGGATAACCACTCTGTGTCCAGTGCAACGATATACAAATGGATTGTCTAATGCTATCTTGAATTCCTCCAAGTGATGATATAGGCAGTCCTGTGTGCGGTTACTTCATTGAGAGCTTTGATACCTCAACAAAACAGTGGATGAGGTGTAATGAAATCCCAGCAAAGATCTGCCAATATCCTGTATCTGGTCTTATTCCTGGGCATACATATCAGTTCAGAGTAAGTGCACTCAACCAGGTTGGTGTCAGCCATCCATCAAAACTGAGTGACCCTGTGGCTACAAGAGATCCGATGCAGGAAGCAAGAACAATAGTAGTAACATATAATGAAGGAAGGACAATTACTGTGAACAGAGATGACTTGCAAGGAGATGTCATCGAAGTGCCCTCACCCCCATGAAATGTTCAGGCTTCTGAGGTCACAGAGGACTATGTTGTAATTTGTTGGGATGAACCAGATCCTCGTGGCAAGGAGCCTCTAAAATATTATGTAGAAAAGTCTGTTGAAGGAAGCAACACATTGGAGAGGATCAACCAGGAAGGAGCAGTGTCATCTCCAAGGCTTTCGGTGCTGGATCTTGATAAAGAGAAATCGTACAGTTTCCGGGTACAAGCTGTGAACAAATATGGAGTCAGTGATCAATCCAAGCCTAGTGCACCTATCTCCCTTAAAACAGCATTGGCTCTTCCACCAGCACCTGGACACATTTTAGCACTCAGAAATACAAAGACATCTGCTCTAGTGCAGTGGGGTAAGGTTGAAGCTATTCCAGAGATTCTTGGCTATTACCTTTACAGTCGAATGTTAGGTGAAGAGGACTGGCAACAAGTGAACAACAAGCACCTGCAGTCCACTACGTTTACCGTTCCGGAGTTGCAGACTGGGAAAGACTACGAGTTCTGTGTAAATGCAGTAAATGAAGTTGGATTGAGTGAACAGTCACCTGTATCAAACCCTCTGAACATAAATGAGGCCATTTTGCACTCTGGGCATTTTCTCCACTCTTAACTACAATAACGCATTGACTGCTGCTTTTCACTGGGTAAATGCTCCTATCTTCACTCCACTCTTAACTACAACAACGCATTGACTCCTTAATTTCAGAACAACTAGTGTATATATATTCTTGTAAATGTTGTTTAGTTCTCACCTCTAGCTTCACTCATTTTATGACTGTAGTCTGTATCTGGTGTGTTTGAGAAACATCCCCCCCTATTCATGTGATCCTTATCAGTTCCTAATTGGGGCGGAGAAGAAGAGTGCTCATGTGGCCATCTCCCTATAAATTTAGAACAGCGTATGGGGGAGATCACTGATGGGGGGAGGGGGCACAGTCACTGATGGGGTGCTGCATTTGCGTGAGTGGTAAGAAGCAGTTAAACACAGCAGTTAAACTAAAGTAGGAGAACTCAAGCAGCAGGAAGACACAACAACAGCAAGAAACTCTACTGCATGCTGGACAGACTGCAAGCAAACACCCTGGGAAACATCTCTTACAAGTCTGAGTCCCACTCTGTGTACCTTTTAATATGTCCCCTCCACTGCTCCTTTTCATATTACTTTCCTGGGTTCCTAAAATCACTTCTTTACCCCTCTGCTCCACCCCAAAACTTGTACATCTCCCCTTCCCTACTACTGCTCTCATCACCTCCTACTGATACTTCACTCTCCTGCTGACCCAAACACCAGGACTGGAAGGCATGTGCACTCATGTATATCCTGCTCCCATCTTACTTTCCTCACCCTTCTTCTTCTCCTAACCTCTGGGGATACCTCCCCAAACCCTGGTCCTCCAATATTTAACCCACACACCAGGCATCCTCTTTCTTCCGGGAATAGCCGCAATCCCCTCAATTTAATATCAGTCCCCGTGCTCCAAAAAAAACCACCCTCCCTTTTTCATGTGCGCTCTGGAATACCTGCTCTGTGTGTAATAAGCTCACCTCTGTCCATGACCTTTTTGTCTCCCGCTCCCTTAACCTACTAGCAATTACAGAAACCTGGCTCCAAGCAGCAGATTCTGCTTCCCCCGTAGCACTTTCCTATGGAGGCCTCATCTGGACCACTGACCCAGACCCAGGGGTTGGAAAGGTGGTGGGGTTGGTTTGCTTTTATCCCCACTGAGCATCTTTCAAGTCCTCCGTAACCCTCCCTCTCTATCCTTCTCTTCTTTCGAGACTCACTGCATCCGGCTGTTTTCTCCCATTTCTCTGAGGAATTGCAGTGATCTATCGGCCTCCTGGACTGGTGTCCTGCTTTCTTGATAATTTCTCCACCTCCGTACCGTACTCTCTCCTCTGAACTACCCACTATCATTCGCGGAGATTTTAACATCCCTATCAATGTCAACAACCCGGCTATATCCCAACTCTTCGACCTAACCTCATCTTTTGCATTAGCACAGTGTATACAGTCCTCACACTCACTCTGAAGGGAATACATTGGACCTTGTTTTTCTCTCATCTTCGCACCCTCCCTACAACCTCACACACACACCCTTCCTCTCTCTGATCACAATCTCATCACCTTCACAGTGTCCTCGTCTTCAAATACCTATCCCTCCAAGCAGCAGCAAACAATTACCAGCAGAAACCTTCACAACTTGAACCCTGCTCCTTTCCACTCTGCAACTTTGACCAACTCTATGACAGAATCTCTCCCCTGTCCTGTCCTGACCTGGCTACTGCTGTCTACAACAGTTCACTTCCTTTCACACAGTGGACTCCGCTGTGCTCTCTAACAACACGAAGCATCAGGCCCCCGACGCTGCAAAACTTTGGCAGAACTGACGACACCAGAATCTTAGACGACATAGTCTGTGCGCGTCTGGGACCGATTGTGGCGTGTAACCAAAAATCCCCAGCAAGCATTCACAGGCCGAGTATAAATCTGCTTTCTTAACATACAATTCCCTCCCCTTTATGCTGCCAAACAAGCCTACTTTGTCACTCTTATTAATACCTTGTCATCCAGTCCTCTTCTCTACTTTTAACGCTCTACTTTCTCCACCTCCACTCCAGTAACTCACTCACTGCTCACGAGATTGCAAATCATTTCAAAAACAAGATTAACGCAATTCGTAGATCGGGCATCGCCACTGCAGAGACCACATCCATCCCACTTAAGCATACCTTATACTAAACCTCCCTCAACACACTTTTCTCTTTGGACCTTGCTACTACCGGAGAGGTTCACTAAGGTTTTTCTTCGGAAGCCAGTCTCACTACTATCTGCCTCCTGTCTTCTCACAACTACTAGTCACCCTCCCTTCTTTCCCATCCTATGCTCCCTCACATCACATCTTCAATCTTTCCTCTCTAACGGTTGCCTTCCCTCCCCTCTAAAGCATGCGCACATCACTCCCATTACTTAAAAAGCCCTCCCCTGGACCCCACCAACCTGAACAACTTAAGACCCATTCTCCCTGCTGCCATTTACCTCTAAACTCCTAGAATGGCCGAGAGATGCTTATCTACAATCGCCTGAGCTCCCCACCTCACTGACAACAACCTTCTTGACCCTTTTATAGTCTGACTTTCGCTCACTCTACTGAAAACTGCCCTACTGAAACTCACTAATGATCTAAACTGTTTTAAAACCAATGGCCACTACTCCGTACTCTTTACTACTTGACCTCTCTGCGGCTTTTGATGTGGTTGACCATCCCCTTCTACTCAAAAAACTCCACTCTCCTTGGTCTCAGACTCTGCTTCTCTCCCTGGTTCTCCTCCTACCTGTCACAGTGCTCCTTCAGCGTTACCTATATCGCTGCCATCCTCCTCTTCACTCCCACTTTCTGTTAGGGGTGCCTCAAGGATCTGTCCTTGGACCCCTTCTCTTTCTCCATCTACAACCTCCTCCCTTGGTTACTTGATAATACTCACCATGGCTTTAAGTACCATCTCTATGCTGATGACACACAAATCTATCTTTCTACCCCTCACCTCACCCATTCAGTCTCCGCTCGCATTACTAAACCTACTATGTGACATATCGGCATGGATAGTCACTCTCCACTTCCTCAAACTCAATCTTTCCAAAACTGAGCTCTTAGTGTTCCCCCCAGCCGTGCCCCCATCCCCTGACTTCTCCATCAAGATCAATAACACACAATCATCATTCCCTCCCCTCATGCCAAGGGTGCAAGGTGTACTCCTAGACTCCCATCTGTCCTTTCACCTCCAAATCCAATCACTGTCCAAATCTTGAGATTTCCATTCACCTCCCATCCTCTGGGAACGCTCTACCCCAATTTATCAGACTATCGCCTACTCTGCTCACTTTTAGGCAATCTCTGAAAACCTCTTTCTTCAGGGAAGCCTATCCTGCCCTCCGCTAATAATGGAATCTTCTACTCTTCCAACCAGTCCATCCCCCACAGTTACCTTTTGTACCACTAGCCCCTCCCTCCTAGATTGTAAGCTCCAAGGAGCAGGGCCATCCTTTCCCTCTTGTATTGAACTGTATTGTTGCTGTATTGTCACCAGTTATATTGTAAAGCGCTGAGCAAACTGTTTGTGCTATATAAATCCTGTATAATAATAAAAATTGACTGGAGTAATGGTACTGCAGGAACAGTTAAAGGGCAAACATTTCTAAACCTACTACAGGACAATTTTTTGGTACAGTTCATAGAGGCCACAACAAGGAATGATGCTCTGCTGGACCTGGTAATTTCAAAGGATGCAGAGCTTATTACAAATGTCCATATAAAGAACATCTGGGTAGCAGTGACTATAACATGATTTAAATTTGTTAGCTGTAAACAGCAAGCACATACGAGAAAAATAAAAATGCTCAATTCTAAGAGAGCTAATTTTCCAAGGCTGAGAGCTGCTCTCCAAGACTTAGACTGGGAGGGAATATTGGCATCAATGAAGACCACAACACAGAAATGGGAGTTCTTCAAAAAAAGACTATGTGAACACACTGCAAAATATATTCCCATAGGCAACAAGTTTAAAAGGCTAAAAATCAAACCTATGTGGCTTACAGCCAAAGTTAAAAACGTTATAGATAAGAAAAGAGCTTTTATTAAATATGAAAATGAAGGAACACGATCATCGTTTAAACATTACAAAGAGTATGCAAAAAGGAAATGAAGGTTGCAAAAAAGTTTAAACGAATGTCAGATTGCAAAAAATAGCAGGACCAACCACAAAAAAATTCTTCAAATATATTAATAGTAAAAAAGCCTGGTCCAAGCATTTAGGCCCTTTATAAAATAGAGTGGGTGACTGGGGACAAAGAAAAGACAAAATTTATTAAATACCTTCTTCAGCTCTGTGTATACAAAGGAGCATGGGGGAGCTCTTGTCCATAATGGGCATGGTATTGACACAGCTCCAGATGATCCACATTGGCTCACAATTGATATGACCCAGAAATATTTAGACAGAATAAAGCACCTGGACAGGATGGCATACACCCAGGGGTCCTTAAAGAATTGAGCTGTCATTTTAATGCCATGGTTTCTAATTTTTAGGGACTCTTTAATGACTGGCATAGTACCACTGGATTAGCACAAGGCCAAATTGGTGCCAATATTTTAAAAAAAAAAAAAGGTCAAAATCTTTACCAAGTATAGTAATTCTAGACATGTTAGTTTAACTTCTATTGTTGGGAAGATACTGGAGAGTTTAATAAAAGACCACCTAGATAAGTTCTTGCTGGAAAAAAATATTTTAAGCAACAGCCAGCATGGATTCATGAAAGAGAAGTTGTCAAACAAATCTGATTTCTTTTTATGAGGGGGTGAGCAAAACCTTGGACAGAGAGGTGGCGGTGGATGTGGTATTCTTTGATTTTTGCAAAAGCATTTGACAAAGTTCCCTATACACGGCTAAAGTGTAAGGTAAAGTCTATAGGCTTGGAAAAATCTGTATGTAAATGTATAGAAAACTGGCTAAAAGATCGTATTCAGAGAGTAGTGGTTAATGATAAATACTCTGAAAGGTCTAGGGTTGTCAGTGGTGTACTCCAAGGTTCAGTGTTGGGACCCTTACTTTTTAATATATTTATAAACAATATACGGTCTGGGATTAAAAATCCCATTTCAGTCTTTGCAGATGACACCACACTGTGCAGTGGAATAACGTCCTTACAGGATGTCTCCAACTTTACAAGCCAACCTCAATGCTCTGTTTAATTGGGCAACTATGAGGTTTAATGTTGATAAATGTAAGGTTATGCACTTGGGTGCTAAGAATATGCATGTGTCATACATACTATGGGGAGTAGAACTGGGGGAATCAATGGTGGAGAAGGATCTGGGAGTTCTGATAGATCACAAGCTTAATAATGGCATGCAATGCCACGTTGCAGTTTTAATACGAGAGGATTTTGCTCGCTTTAGAAAGAGGTATAGACTCCAGAGAGAGAGATCATATTACCCTGTACAAATCATTAGTAAGACCTCATCTGAAATACGCAGCTCAGTTTTGGGCACCAATTCACAAAAAGAACATTGGGGAACTGGAGAAAGTACAGAGAAGAGCAACCAAACTGATAAGAGGCATGGAGGAGCTCAGCTATGAAAAAAGATTTGAGGAACTGAATGCATTCTCGCTTGAGACGAGGAGATTAAGGGGGGATATGATCAACATGTATAAATACATCAGTGGTTCATATAGTGAACTCTGTGTAGAACTATTCACCCTGAGGTAATCACAGAGGACAAGGGGGCACTCTTTACATCTGGAGGAAAAGAAATGTAATCTCCAAACACAGAAAGTTTCTTCACAGTAAGGAATAGACTCCCTCAAGAGTTGGTTCTGGCCAGCTCGGTGGATTGATTTAAAAAAAAGGCCTGGATTCTTCTTGGATACACAGAATATAACTGGATACTAACATTTATAGGTAAAGTTGATCCAGGGAATATCCAATTTGCCTCTCGGGGATCAGGAAGGAATTTTTTCCCCTGCGGGAGCAAATTGGGTCATGCTTTCCTGGGGTTTTTTTTTTTTTTTACCTTCCTCTGGATCAACTGTGAGTGAAGGATTATAACTTTTTTTTTTTTTTTTTTTTAATAGTTGAACTGGATGGTCTTTTTTCAGCCAGACTATGTAATGCCCCATTCTAACGGTTTAGGGAGAAGAAAAGCCAGGACTTTAGCATTCTGGCCCAATGGAAAAAGGTCTATGGACAGAGACCCTCACTCCCTTATTATGGCTTGGTAGATCTCACAAATGAGCATCCATTCCGATTCCCTCAGCTGCTTTCTGCTGAGAAAATCTGCCACTTGGGTTCAAATCCCCTTTCAGCTGGATGGCAGATAGGGTGGCTACATTTGTCTTGGCCCAGGTGAGCAGTTCCAAGGCCAAG